TGAGGCAAGAGAATCACTTAAGCCCAGGAGTTTGAGGTTGCTATGAGCTGTGATGCCACAGTACTCTACCAAGGGTGACAAAGTGAGACTCTATCTCAAAGAAAAATAAATAAATAAAGTGAAAGACCTGACAAGGGAACCCAGGGGCGTTGTCCCACATGTGTCTCCTGCTGTCCCACCCACCAACTGTAAGGGGGGCTGGTTTGCCTGTTTACTTGGAGACACTGGGAGAACAGCACCTAGCCACAGGAGCGTGTGAAAGAGACTCGATTTCAGACAAAAATCATCAAAACCACTTAAGAAACAACACTTCCATGATAGGATGGATGAGGGTGGTTCTGTTACTTGGAAGGTCTTGCCAATCTCACCAGCTATTCATTTTTCAGTCCTCAGTATGAAGAGAGGCTATGCTGGTGACAAATGGCCAGTGGTTGGTGTTGGCACCTTACAGAGACCGTGGGTCTGGCAGGCTTTACTGACCATCCACAGCAGTGGTCCCCTGAGGAGCCAGCACACCATCACTCTGTGCTGCTGCCAATTAGGGGCTCAATAAATGCGCAGAGTGCTGGTTGCCCACACTACATCCACTCGCTGTCCTTGACCGCAAGGACTGACGTACCCGGCTGAAAGATTACCTCTTCCAGCTTGACGTGGCCATATGCCTTGGTTCTGGCCAGAGAGACAGAGGCACTGGCATTGCACGACACTTCCAGATAAGTGACTTAAAGGAAGCTGCTTCCTCTCTGGATGCTAGACTTAGAATGTAGGCATGATGGCTAAAAATGCAGGAGTCATTTGGTGACCTTGAGAAAGGCAGGCACTTGCTAGGACTGTGAGTCTTAAGTTAGAGTCTAATAAATTGCCATCCTGGATAAGACAGTTACTTTAGGGTAGTTCTCAAACTTTGGTAGATATCAAAATTACATGAAGCACTTGGTAAAAAGATAAAGGCCAGGCCCTCTCCTGCTCTAAGGAGCCAGGGCCTCTGGGTGCCGGGACGCTGATACTTACCAGTGGCTGAGGACCACCACTCCAGGCTTTTCTGTTCTAAGCAGCCTTACTTGATCACACAGTTCCCTTCAGGTATCAGTCTCAATACTGACAAAATTCAGTCAAAAACAGCCTTACAACATTGAGTTTCATTTTATTTCTGATTGAAAGCCAGAGATCAGGTCCAAATTGGGTGGCCCACTGCCAAGACCATTTACCATCCACCCATCTAGGAGACAGCAGGTGCTGACCCAAGGCCACCCTCCTGTTCCCGCTGACCTGATGAGCACCTGGCCTGCTTCTATGTAGCGCTTGGGTACATAGGTAAACATTTTCTGGGGGCAGCCACTAAAGTGTTCTCCTAGGAAGTTTTAGGCTGAGTCTTTGCAATGTGGGGGTCTCATCCTGGGTGAAGGCAGCAGCCTCCTGCACTCGCCTCCTTGCCTTGATGCAGAAAAGACTGGGTGCGGTGTAATCCTCTCCCAAGTTGCCCTGGCTCACCCCCACACCGTGCATACCTGTCTGCCTCGTAAGCTGGCTACCCCAGTAAGGGCTCAGGGTCCAAGCACAGTACTCAGAGCCGCCTCCTCCCACCCACACATTCAAAGTCAGACTTGTCATAGCAAGGTTTTCTGGTCACCTAAGCAGTAACCTCAATTCTCCTTTTCAATTACAAAGGACAGGCTTTCTCTCTCGCCTTCTCTTCTATAAGGCACGTTGCTCTTTCCTTTTCATATGACTGGGAGAGCAATGTCAGGCTGTGGGCAGAGAAACTTGTGGACCACCACCTCAAAGAAAAAAGCAATCAGGACCCACCTGGATGTAAATTACCACACTTACTAAAAACCCCACTTGTTGAGTTCAGATAGTAAACATAAAAATGACTTTTATATTATCTGGCTTTTTCTTAATATTCAGTTCCCGAGACTTACAGCAGCACCCCTCACGTCTATCTGTGAAGGGTAAAAGCAGCTGACCAACAGGTAATGAATGCCCTTTGGGATGCCAGCTACAGAAGGGGAGTCCCACAGACAAAAGAAAGCTCCAGCGAATCACTCGCCACACCTCAGCTGCCCCTGGAGGTGATTAAGTTAGGCCTGGCACAGGATCCCACCTGGAACCAGGTGGCCTCAGCTCAGAGACCCCAGAGCTCTGGATTAAGGTGAGGGGGAGGCTGAGGTCTCTGTCCCCCAGGAACCCCAGGGCCTGTCACGGAGTAGAGCTGAATCTTCTCTCTGAAGATCCACTTCCTGCAGCTGAGCTGGCCAGGCAGGGGCCTAGGGAAGGCAAGAAGGCTTTGCTCCCGGATTTGCCCCCAGATCAGGCTAGACTGCAGAGAAACTGCCCTCGACACCAGGGACTCACTTTGTATTTATTTCTGGTAGTGAGTGGAGCTCGAAGAACCACCTCCTCCCCCTCGGATGGCATGGACAGCGGTTGGAGATGATGCTGGGTAGTGTCCAGGGCGGATGGGCTTGGCTAGATTCAACAGACAGAAAGGAGAGAACAGACATTTAGAACAGGCTCCACCGGCAACCCAGATACGTACAGGTGACAAGTGATAACAAAGAGTCACAAATCTTATCAATATTAGAATTTTATCAACCACCAGACCTTTCAAAACATGGAAGATTTGTCCTCCTGTCAGTATAGTTAGCAAGGACACCTAATATTTAGGGGACAGAGAAAACTGACATGTTCATTAGCTTATTTTTAATTTGGGCTAAGAAAAATGAGAAACAAAAGACTTGGTTTTATCTGAAATAGATTATAGGTCTCCCATAAACTTCAGGGGAATCTGGGTAGCCCCTGAAACTGAAGGCAGTGCTCTGCCCATGATAGATTTTTCTGGCTCCTTAGTTTCCCACAGATTCTCAAAGGATATGAAATCCAATAAATGCAATAATTCACTAATCTAAGGATGATTTTAAAACCAGAAAAGATGAAGTTGCTACTTTATAATATATCTGCATGGCAACATTGGATGGGAAATAATATTACAGGTTACTGGAGATGTTTCAATTTAAAAAAAAAAAGCACCAAGAGACTCTTCAGAGAACAGCCCTAAATCCCTTTCAGTCCTATGGCTCTGTCCTGGGAACTGTGGCTCAGTAGCTACACTCATTTCCCACATGTGCAATATGCCCAAATCCAAACAGGAACAGAAACTCCAGGCCCCTCCCAGCCGCCCCACCAGCCTGTAGCCACACCCTGCCACCACTGCCAGCCTGTCTCTTCCCGGGGTATTTCCAAACCCGAAAGCCGCCTTCCCTGAGGCTTCTGGCTGCACACAGGTGCCTTCCTGGTCCCACCCGGTGCAGAACACAGGGGGTCTCCAGCCTCGCAGAGAAACATCCTCCACTTCCAGCATTTCTACCAGTGTTCCCCGCTCAGAGCCCAAGACCTTAGTGTCTAGGCCAGACTGGCTGCTCTGCTCGTCAGTGTTGAGGCCAGAGTGTCTGCTGCAGCATCTCACTCTGGGTAGGGTTCCCAGGGCCCAACCTTCCCCTTCTTACAGGGCGAGCCCAGGGTGCTGTGAGGACTGAGTCCTGCAGGCTCCCACCAGACTTCCAGATGTTACGGAGCAGGGGGCGCTGTCTGCGCCCTTCAGCAAGGCGCCAAGTGGAGGCCCAGGCAGCTCCCCGACCCGGGCCACTGCGCACACATACCGATCTGGGCCGAGTGGGCCCTCCGGGCCATGTTCTTGGCCCGCACAGCCTCCTTGATGCGGTCCACCTCCTGCTGGTAGCGCTTGCGGTCACGCATGGCGTTCTCCTTGGCCTCCTTCAGGGCGCTCTCCAGCGCTTTGACGCGCTCGGCGGTGGCACGCAGACGCTTCTCCAGCTTGGGCAGCTCGCAGCGCAGGTCCGCGTTGTCCCGCACCAGCTGGGGTGGAAGGGCAAGGCAGGGAGTTAGCGGGAGGGTGAGCCCAGGCCGGAGGCGTCGCGTGCGGGCAGCTGGAAGCAGGTCCTGGTTGACACTCCACGTGACCTAACTCATGGAGCAGCACAGGAAAAGCAACTCCCCACACCCTGATTCCTGGGGTGCAAGGCATGTGGGCAGGGGAAGATAAAATTAAAGTCATTTCAGCCACAGGAAACTTCTTTGGGGCAGGTCTTACCTCCTCTTTTGTTTGGGTGTGTGTAATGGAGGGGGGGTAGTGTAGAATATTTACTACTAGCATGTAACTGTGAAAAAATCGAGTAGTTCAAAGCCACTTCAAAGCAATCGGTGAAAATATGTATGTCCTGGACCTCTCAGGGCCTCCCTCCACGCAGGCACCAGGCCCACACTGGCACGAGGTTTGGACCCAGCTTAGAGGCTAAGCCATAACATAAGGGCATTGCCCCGTTCTTCTTGCCAAAGACCCACAGTCAGGAAGCAACAGACTAACCCTGGGTTAAGGGCAGGCTCAAGGACCAGTTCTATTGTTTCCTGGCCGTCTAGATGTAAGTCACTGGACCAGGAGTCTCCGGTTTCTCATCTATAAAACAAGTATACCACACAATAGGGCCATTGTGGGGATCCAGGTGGATGGAGAAAAGCTTTGAAGATCAGAAAGTACTACACAGAAGTGAGCCACGCTGGGTGAGACCTGCCTGTTTCCCAGCATCAGCTCCAGTGCCTGGCAGAGACAGTGGGTTTTTAAGAATTATCAGTTGAATGACTTCATGAGTAAAATAATGGATTTCAGGGCCCTATTTCAAGTTCTCTGGCAGTTTCTACTTTTGTGCTTTTAGCATCACTTTGTTTGAGTGACTTCGACCTTGTTGAATCTGTCATCCTCCCTCTGGGGGGGAAATGCCATCATCAGTAATCCTGAAGAAGATTTAACAAGTCAGAGAGCAATGCCAGCCCCGTGGCCATGTGGTCCAAAAACTTGGGCCATTTCCATCACATCTCAATTCCTAAAGAGGAAAAACAGCCATGGACACGCCGGCATTTAAACAGAGAGGATCGAGACAAATGACCTGCTCAAACCACTGCTGGGTCTGGACAGAGTTATCACTCTCTGTCACTCTGCAAACACCAGGACATGGCAGAGATCTGAGAAAGTGCCCCAGATGGCTAAAAATAGGGCAAAAGAGCAGAGGGGTGCTGGTTCTGGTCCCAGTCCTCCCACCAGTGCAATGAAACTGTCGCTTCCTCTCCCAGTCTGTAAAAATAAGGGACCTGAGCCAGCCTGGTGGTGTCTGCTTTGCATTCTGTAGAGGCTTTGGGTCCACAGAGGTGCCTCAGGGATTTCATGGGAGATGCCAAGGCCAGGTGGGTCCGAAGTCAGGGGTGGAGACTGGAGGGGAAAAAAGGGCTCAGAACACCCAGCTCTCCAACCCCAGAGAGCTCACACTCAATGCTTTGTATCTGGCTGTGACAAAAGAAAGTATTTTAGGCTCAGGGCCCATCATAAGTCAGCGGTTAGGGCTCCAGCCACATGTACCAGGGCTAGTGGGTTCGAACCTGGCCTGGGCCTGCTAAACAACAATGACAACAACAACAAAAACCAGCCAGGCATTGTGGCGGGCACCTGTAGTCCCAGCTACTTGGGAGGCTGAGGCAAGAGAATCGCTTAAGCCCAAGAGCTTGAGGTTGCTGTGAACTGTGACACCATAGCACTCTACCAAAGGCGACATAATGAGACTCTGTATTTTAGCTCTAAGAGAAGCCGTGAGGACTAAAGGATGCTTGAGGATCTGTCCAGCACTCACATCCTCTGATGGCACACAGTCCTTTGCCCTTCACTATCACTTTCTCCACACAGTGTGGCTACACCGGGCAAGGCTTCTTTCCAGAAAAGAAAGGGAGCGCTGGGGAGTGCTCGGGACCCTCTTACCTGCTTGTGAACCTTAGTGAGCTGCTCCAGGTTGTTCTCCAAGAAGGAAATCTTCTGCTTCTGCGCCGCACTGCCCCCTCCATCATCGCTGTCCAACTCTACACTCTGTGTCAACACAAAGGGGTTAGCAGGGCAGGCTGCCACGACGCTCCTCCCCACCTCAGGGTGATGAAGATGATATGTTTTAAACCTTCTTTAAAAAAAAAAAAATCCCCACTCCCATCAAAAGGTATTCTGAAAGTGAAAATAAAGAGACGTTCTAAAAGTTTAGACTCAACAAACTACCCAATTAATTTCCTTGATTGGTATCAAATGCGTTTTAAGAAAGAGCTATTTTTTAGAAGGCTGGAGAGAAAAAAAAACCCTTCAAATCTGCTTTTCAAAGTGACAGATGATTTCTCTTTAGTGAAATATACCTTTCCCTACAAGGACAGGCAAATGGAGACTTTCTTTTCAAAAGAGAGCATTTCGAAATTCACTAGAAAAAACCAGTGGGAAAACATAAACCCAAGGGCTAAGTTTGCTTTTCACCAACATGGTGAGATACGAAGTTCCCTAAGCAAGTGTCTGCAGTCCACTGGGAAGTCTCAATGGCTCTGCTTGCCCCTTCAGCTTCCAATTCTATTAATATTTTATGCCTTAATGAGTCAGTCTCAAACTAGTTACAGCCTCCGGGTGCTGGGTAACTCTTAAAATGTATCAGATCTTAAAATTTTCATAATCACCAAACTCCTGGAAAGCCGAGTGGCAGAGACAAGTTGGGGGACAAAGGTACAAGCACATCCTGCAGTTCTAAGATGACAAAGTACATGGGTTTTGTCTGATTACAGAAGAGATCATCTTCGGAGAGTAAGTTAAGATGAGCATCTTAAACCTGCCTCTTGGCCAGGCTCTGTGGCTCACGTCTGTGATCCTAGCACTCTGGGAGGAGGGTGGATTACTTGAGCTCAGGAGTTTGAGACCAGCCAGAGCAAGAATGAGTCCTTGTCTCTACTTAAACTAGAAAACCTAGTTGGCCTGCTGATGTGCAATTGTAGTCCCAGCTGCTCAGAAGG